TCCTATATGCAAATGTAAAAACGCATATTGTGCGTATGTATTTTTGTGTTTGTGTCTGTACGTCTCTTCGGGTATTTCAACCGGATAACCACGTAAATAAAAATCGCTTTCTTAACCCTGTCTTTTTTTCCTGAAAAATCAAGATTAAGGATGTAAATCTTATTTGTAAAAAGTAAATCTTATTTGTTGTCGTTCCAAATATGTCTCTGCTGATGGTTTAAAAGTGGACGGTTTTACAGGAAATGTACTCGGCGCGCCGGATTTTCATCGCTGGGACGGATGCTGATCTGGACGATGACGCTGATTTAAATGACCTTGCAAGTCATACCCGGCACCTGAATCTCGCTTTATCGCCAGCGCTGGACGTTCTTAGTGCTGAAACTCGAGAGAAAATCCGTCGATTGCAGCAGTTGCAGGGTTGGGCTTCTACCGCACTTGAAAGGCATGATGCTGGAATTACAAGAAGCAGGCAGCCGCTTCCTGCAGCTAAAATTCTTGAAGAGGTAAAACTCTCCTTTTAAAACGAAGTTCAGATACATTATTGTGCGTGTTTTTTGCTTTGGAACTTCGACCAGCTGCATTTCATAAGTTTCACTCTAGCTATACTGCTCAAAGCTTTTCCATTTGCTTTGACTAGTGCTACATTGCCTGGGGGGCTGACGTTCCTGACGTTCGTTTTGTTTCCTGAAGAGGTTACCAGCTCAGTGGTTTTTCCCACAGAAGCACTTAGAGAGGCTTGCAGCACTGAAAGTGAATTTGCATTCTGCCGAGAATCTTGGAGCGTTGTATGCTTCCAGTGTCCCTTCTGACTCTCTTTCGAAAGCAGGTGCTACTGCCGATTTTGTTAGCACCAGCGAACTTCGTTTACTAATTAATTGTACCCGCGAAAAAGAAAACGACTAACCAGGCAGCTTCCGAATATCTGTTGGCGCATCTTTGCAGAAGGTATGATATTGAAAAGAGACTAAATGCATTTAGCTTCAGAAAGGGAGAGTTTGGCATAGATGTGGGTGTTAGTGATTATAAAA